AAAACAGTTCTTCCCTGAGGTTAGGGGTTGGTTCTCCTGTGGAGTCACCTCAAAGAGTCACTTTTCAGAAAGATTCCTGAAAGCCGGGAATCAGGTTAGAAATATAGGTACTATCAAGAGACCCACTGTAAAGGCATAGATCCATGGTTACTCTTCTTTGAAACATGGAAGAAGTCATATCCCATGTACACTCTCCAGTCATCTAGTGTTTCCTTTATTACTTTTTAATTAAATCTGTTACTAGTACAGACTTTGTAGGCCCTAGTATAGTAAACAAAAGAACAGGTGTGTATAGGAGCATGGCCTGCCAACAATGTCTTTTTCATGGAGTGTTGGGGGAGCCACATCTTTTCTAGGGAGATGGTAACGTGTCTGGGGTGAGGAGGGCTGGTAAGCTGGAAGTATCAAACACCATCCTGGACAATGAAGGAGAATGCAAGAGGAATTGAAAAGAATTTCTCCTTTTCTAGGAGAAGCTAGACCCTGGAAGACAATGGAAATTGTGTGCTTAGATTATACATGTTTTAAAATTAAAAGGAAATATTGGTCACAGCTGCTGGGCTTGTAATTTTTAGATATTTTCTTTGGTCTTGTTAATGAAGAAAATTATTAGAGTGGTAAAAAAAAAAATCACCTGAGACTACTACAATGACGAATATTGCAATAGGGGAAAAAGAAGGGATTTAACACAAACAAATAGGGATTTATAGTCATGAAACAGAGTAAAGGGGTCAGTGAGTAGATGGAAAAACATTTAAGAGGTGACACATCCAGGGTAGGTGGATTCTTGCTAAACTGACCTAACTTGAGCGCGTCTTGCTGATGATAAACCATGATGCCTAGATATCAATAGTGGAATGATTCTTAACTTAGGATTCTTACTACATCTGGACCAGGGAGGACCCAAAAGTGAGCATCTAGTTCACAAAATGGATTCAAAAGTTTGCTCAAGAAGAGAATCTCTGAAAATCCATGTGGGTTAGAAATGTAAGACTATTGAAATAAGACATAAGTAATGATAACATTTATGTTTAATAGAAAATACCTTCTCAAGAGAGATAACTACTGAATGTAATATGTAATCCCGGGATGGATCCTGACCAGAATTTAGTTTTCAGTTTTGGCATTAGTTGGACAGTTTAGATAATAGTGTTGTATTAATGGTTGTGTTCTCACGTTGACTAATTATATTAGAGAATGTCTTTGCTGTTAGAAAACACAAAAGAATTTGTCAGTAAAGAAGCATCATGTTTTTAGGTTACTCTCAAAGGGTTTAGAAAGATATAGGTATCAATATCAGTATATACATACATATATATGTCAGGGTAAAGCAAATGCTATCATTTGGGGAAATGGTAAAACTATGTGGGAATTCTTTATATCATCTTTGCAACTTTTCCGTAAAATTGAAATTATTTCAAAGTGAAGATTAAACAAGCAAAAAAGACAAAAGCCACAAAATCTTCAGAGGCTTTCCTAGGAGGTGCCTATCCATGTAGACTGGACCTCACCCAGTCAGACTGAGAGAAAGTGTCCCAGACAATGGTTTTCTCAATCTCTTCAGCGCTCACTTCTTAAAGCCTCTTCTCTCTGCCTCCTCTAGAGGCAGCATTGCTGGGTAGAATGCTTCTGAACTAACTTCACAATCCTCCCGTGCACATGTTCCTTGCCTCTGCTACTATCCAGCTATGGGACTTCGTCATTACTGGTGCTGTTAATATCAGATTTCACAACAAATGTATCGCACAGTTATCACCAGGAATACATAGCGATGCATTTGTGAATTCTGCTTCTAGAAAGTGTTCTACAAATGTCAACTCCCCTTTTCTCCACTTCTTACAATGGCCTCTCAACCTCCTTGGGAAAAAGTTAAACAAATATGTTCCTTAGATAATTTCTGTACAATTTATTACAATATCACAACATTTAAAATTAACAATTTATAATGGACCCGATATTGCTGCACAGTAACCCTTTCATGAATGTTATTCACGGAGCAACATTTGCCCACATGTTTGCTCATCTGATGGAATAAAAAGGGCCCTATTATTTTCCACCTTTCATAGATTTGGAAACGGAAGCACTCAGGAGTTGAATAATGTGGTTTCTAACTTGGCTGATAAGTAATAAATGAATCTGCCGGTGAATCCTATTAAATCTTGGCAAGCTGCAATTTACTGTTACACTTAAAGCCAAACAAGTAAATTGCAAGTGAGGCTTACAAAGTTCATTGGATCTGTGCCCTTAAGTGTAATCACACTTACTCCAAAATTCTAAAATAACATTTTGCTCATTTGGTGTATCTCTTTTAAGGAGAACCTATTGGTTGTTAAGCACATGTTAGGCCTTCAGAATACCAAGATGAGTAAACAGTTAGAGATCTCCTGGGGAAAAAGCAATGGGACAAAAATCTGTCAATAAAAATACTCTGTAGCACTCACTGTTGCAGAGCCATTCTCCTCTAGATTGCTCTTACATTTATAAAAATTTCACCTACTGTAGGAATGAGGTTCAGAAACGCTGTGGCTTACCATGCAGAATCATGGAAACACCTATCTGCAGCTCATGATGTGCCAACTTCAGCGTTCTACAACCATGGAGCACCTTATCTGGGTCAAAGAAAAGAGAAATTTTCCTATTCAGAGCCATTTCTAGCATGGTGACCATGTCTATTCTTCTCAAACAACATACAGAACTACATTCCTGTGGCCTGCGAATGTCTTGGCATTCCAAGGTTCAGGTCCCTCAGGTGTTCCTGAAACGCATCCCTAAGCTTGGCATGGGGCACGGCCAGATTTATGGCTCAGAAGCTTGGCCATTTCAGCTGGGTCAGCAGTACTTGATGTCAAATGAAAGGAAGTGAGACAGACAACCTAATTTAGTAGGGAGACAGACAAACTAATTTGGGCAGGCAGTGGCTCCCACGGCTACATAAAGCACTGAACATTATTTTGCTACTCTGGAAGCGCTAGCAACTTGGAAACCTGACATCCTGAGTCTGAAAAATTCTTGTTTCCATAACAGACTTCTCTAGACTTCCATGGGCCTTTGAACAGTTTGGATGAGGTGGTTATTCAGCCTCCAATGCATGACAATCTGCTTAGGAAAGCCACACCCTCCAGTACATTACATGTCGCGGTCTAGATACCCGGCTCATGTTTGTACCTCGTCTCCAACTGTCACATCTCATGCCAATCATGTCTTTTCTCTGCTCCTAACATGGCATCTTGTGATGCACATTTATTACTTAAATGAATGATTTTTTAAAATCCTAACGACTAGAAAGTACTAATTAAAGATCCACAACTCTGGGTGTGTATGTGTGTTCTGTGTGTGCATCCCTTAAAGACTGTCTCTGATTCTGGCACTGATTCTACAAAGAAAGACCCTAACAGACAGTCTAAGCACCACTGCCCATTCATTGGTTGGTGGCCAGACCTGGCAAGCAGCTAATTTTTTTTTTTTTTTTTTTTTTCCTTTTCAGGGCGGCCCCAAGGACCAGGCCTGATAAGCCAGCCTAGGAGGAGTTGGAGAACAGTAAACTTTCCTGTGGCTGAGGGAGGAGGCCCGGAAGGCCACGCTGACGTGCAGGAATACCACCTCAGATAAAGTGCCTAGGAGGCTAACGCTTCGCGTGGACGTCAGATCACAGAAGGATGGGTTGCAAAGTCAGCTCAAATATGCCCTGGCCTACTAGAGTTTGCCTACGCGTCCCTCAGCCCTCAGCAGCTGTTCCTGCTGTGCACCCCCCACCCCTCAGCAGGATCCCTTCATTTTTCTTAGGATGGACACTTTAAGTGTCCATCACTACTACTCCTGGCAGCACGACTCTCACACTTTCCAGGCAGTACTGTATGGGGGGTGGGGTAGGTGTGTGTGTGGGGGGGAGCTGGTGGGGTTATCCCGAGCCAAGGCCTCCGTGGACCCGCCCCTTGGCTGATTAGTGCAGTGACTGGACGCTTCCGAAGGCTTTCTTCCAGGTGGGGATTGACTGGCGGTTCCACCAGTTGCAGGCTAGCAGGTTCCGAAAGTTTAGGACGCAGGCAAGCTAGGGGAGGTGGGTCCCTGCCCGCAAGGGGCCTCCAGAGAGAGTCTGCCCGCAATCTGAGCGCTCAGGAGTGTCGCAAGCCTGTTTTTTCTCTTGCCGTCGAGGACTCGTGAGCTCGCTAGAATACGGAAAACATTTGGGAAACTTCTCGTCCCTACTCTTTGCTCCCCACGTTGGGTGGGAATGCAGTTGAGAGTCGTTTGATTTCCTCCCCCCATCAGACTTTGTAAAAATAGCTGTATGCCGGGCAACTGAGCCAAGCCCTGCCGCACCGCTGCCCCGGGCTCGGCGTGCACCTAAAAATACCCCGCAGTTTGCAACTCGCGCTCAGGATGCGGGCGGGTCCAGCCGGGCCGCAGAGGGCGTCTGGAGACCGGAAAAACGGTGGCCGTAGACGGCCCCTCGCCGTGGCCGGGGCTGTCCCTTTAAATCCTGGAGGAGGCAAAGAGAAAAAAGGAAAGAAAGAAAAAAGACGCGGAGCCCCGAGCGGCGGGTGGTTCTGCGCTGCCCCCCAAGCCGCCTCCGCGCTGGCCTGACTCCCGCCCGCGTCCTCCCCAGGTCCCGCGCGCCCCCAGCAGCGCCGCCCACTCACCACAGTTACTGTCAAAATAGAAATTA